CTTCCCGCGAGGGGGGGTGGGCAACCTAAATGGGAAGCTCTTGCAGAACAGTGGAGCAGTGCACGTATTTATTGGTAACCATCCCCTGTTTAGGGGCGAGAGAATAATCAACATCTTCATCCACTTGTGGCTTGTTCCAATCATGTTCAGGCTCGCTGTGATGAGATAGGGGTATAATCATAAATTTGCCAGCAATTTCACAGTGTCCATTTCAACACTAGCCATCTTCGCCAAGTATCACCTAACACTTAACGGCGTCTCAACCCTTCTCTGTTGTAAACCTTTTTGTTCATGACACTTTTCGGCTCAAATATGTTCAGGCAGCCACCGCTGGGTCAACAGTGCCAAAGCTTCATACACGGGCTTGTCTGAAAAGCAAGACAAGACGTGTTCCCTTGTTTCCCTTCAGCGAATTCCCCAAAGGTGACCAATTCAAAACAAACAGCCATATTATGGGCATTTACAGAATTCACATCCGAGCTCTGATTTGCTCAGCACACACATTTTTTCACGAGGGCGGCCAAACAGCCATTTAGGTGGGTTCACTTGCCCACTAAATATATTTGAGAGTGTAACCCATTGAACATTCCTTTTGGTGTGGTTTGTCTTTTGGTTTCCCTTCAAAGCAATTCAAGAAAGGACACCCAAGAAAGACGAGCGACCCATATCGGTGTGTCTGTTCTTGATGTCACCCCTGTGTTTGTGGATTGAAAGGGACCCCAACAAAAAAACCCGCCCCATCTTGCGGGGGGGTCGGACCCCATTTCTCTTGCTGGTGCTCAGTACGGAATGACCGTTCCGGGTGTTGGGAATGAACCGTTTTGGTATTCTCGTCAAGGAAACCAAAACGGTTGGATGGTTATTGGCTCGATCAGGGTCATTCCATTTCTCATTCCCCGCCTGGCTATCGAATCAGCAATCAAACCACAAACAAACCACCGGCAAACCAACAACAAAAACCACAACTATCCCATTGTCGGGGCCCATGTGGGGGTCTCCCATCCCCCTGCAAAAAAAGAAGAAAGACCCCTTCATATCTTGCTCCATCGAGGCCTCATCAGGTCCACCACGTGCATGCGGTGGTTCCAGCAGTGGAAGTTCCTCTCGTCCACCGCCAGCAGCTGTTGGCAAAGGTCCAGCTCCGTGTCTAGCAGACCACGCACCTGAGCTTTTTGTTCATGTTTTTTTTAGCAGGAAAAACATCCCCAAATAGTATAGCACCCTTGCTCTAGCGCTTCTGGCTTATAGCTGCCCAGGCTTAGGACAACTTCCCCCCCTTCCCGAAAGCTTCGACAGGAACCACGATCAGAAGCTTTCAGAAATCTCGAGTCAACCTCGCTTCGAAATCGCGAGTTTGGCTCGAGCCGACCCGGTGGCTTCAGACTAGGGGCTATTCTCCCATCCCTCAAGAAACAACCCGTGTGGTGGTTTGGATTGGTGGTGCTTGAGGGCCGTGTTTTCCCGTTTAATTGCCCTCGAGTACCCAAAGGTTCCGCGAAGGAGCCGAACGGCTTACTTGCCGGTTCGATAGGGAATGAGCCATGGAATGACCAAGAAACCTGAAAGAACCATCCAACCTATGGCTTCTTTGAAGGGAATCCCGAAACGGTTTATTGCCAGCACCCGGAAGGTCATCTTCTACTGAGCACCAGCAAGTTTAGTGGTTAGGGGTGGTTTCCATCCCTCTACAGGTAGCAAGAACCAAAGGTTCCAATCCCCAAACCAATCCAAACTATTGATGGGGTTTCAAAAAAGAGGTGCCCCCAAAATGAATGCGTGGTTCTTCCGTTTCCCTTTGAACCAACTCCAAACAAAATACACTCAACAAAAACACATGGGGGGGGGGGTCCGGGGCAAAATACAAAAGATGTCCATCCAAAAAAACTTCGGGCTTGCTTTTGGATCAATTATCAAATGTTTATATGGGTGCGGCTCAAAATTAAACAGGAGGGTTACGCAGGTTTTGGTCCATGTTTCCACTTAGCAGGGTCCTCAGCCATATTGGATGGATGAAATGCAAACATACCCCAGGAGGTCAAGGGGATGTGCAAGCGCCAAGCTACTATATGAAGGGTGTACTATGGGAGACTCCCGCACAAGGGTAGACAGTTGCTTTTTGCAGGGCAACAAACAAACTACAAGCCAAATGTCTACACTTTGGTTTTGATAATCTGATAAACTCAGGGCAACCCTGGAGATGGATGAATGGATGGATGGATGGATGGATGGATGGATGGATGGATGGAAGGGGTGAACGGATGGATAATTACTGTAAAACACTGGCGAACCACAGGTCAAGTGGTCGATTTGCTAGGAAGCGTGAATCATCTTGGCCCAACTCCTGTCGTTGCGCTACTTGTTGCGCGTTCAGGGTAGGTGACACAAGTGAGGGGACGTTCCTCCAGGTGTTGGGCCCACCATGCGCTCCACAAGCAACCCTCCACTCCAATCAATCTTGAACCTGGCCCTTATTGAACCCTGGTGCCTTGTGGTGCCTTGTAGAGGGAGCAACCAGGTCTCCAATATTTCAACAAACCCCGAAGAATCGGATACAGACAAGGTTGATGACCGCAAGGTATAAAAGCAAAGGCACGCCGTGGGTCGAAACTAGGCACCGTGACTCCGGGCATTCCGGTGGGTTGAGGTGCCTAAGGAACTCTGAGCCCTTCTCTCCACTCTCCCAACAAGTGGGTGCGTGGGAGGTGTCCAGGGGATCTCCCAACGTGTCCAGGGGAGTTAGCTTGGCTTTCTATTCAACTGACCTACCCGCTGTCCAATGGAAGTCAGCTGGACGGTCTTCCAAAACGTCCATTGCTGACGGACATGCTGGTTCTGGCCGAGCGGCATCGGCCGAATCGGCCGACTTGAACAAGCGGTCCACCACCCAGCGCCGGTGAAACCAAATGGAATACACCTTCTGGGACTTGCGCAGGGCCTTGTCAGGGTTGAACGAACGCTTCAAGTCCGTGTTTCCTAGTGATTTCAATCAGTTCTTCAAGCAACCTCCTTTGGTTTACACATCTTTCAACATCTTCAACACAGCCTCTCTTTTTTTCCTGCAACGGTGAGAGTCCGCTTTACTCGGGTTGGCTTTACACAGTCAAGCACACATCTTTCTCAAGCCATCCTTCTCGAGCAGCTTCATCTCCAGCTTCAGCAGCTCCGGCTTCTCCTTGCCGGTCTCCGTCAACAGCTCCCGTCGGTAGCCCCAGAGCGTGGGGAACTCGGGGTGGAACTGCAGCGCCTTGGCCGTGAGATCCAGCGCTTGGTCGTTGTAGACCCGGTCCTTCCGCAGCTCCAGCAGCTTGCCGAACCTCAGCGACTGAACATGGGCGCTCGTCGCTTTTTTTCTTTTTTGTTTGAGGGTGCTCCTTGTTTCGGTTGGTGGGCTTTAAAGGGAAACAAAAAGGGGGAAGAGAACAAAAACGGCGAGTTTGGGGGGTCCCCGATTTTGAGACAAAGCCACAGGGGTTTGGACTTGCCCAGTGGATCCATTTGCCTGGTTTTGTAAGTAACCACGGGAATCCCTTCAAAAACCAAAAGGAAAATAGCTGGTTGCCTACTATTTGGGGAACTGGGATCCACTGAGATGGGGGTTAAGAACCTTTGTTTACCTTATACGGATTTGGGATGGGGTTCAAGGGGAAAAGTTGCCCACGTTTAGGGATCAGTTCTTCAGTGACCCTCACCGGGAAGCCAAACAAGGGAAATGGCGTGCCGCTAGTTAAAATCGTACAAGTAGGGTTTTTCGCTGAGAAACAAGCTTCGGGCAGTTCGAACCTGTTCTCTCTGCTTCTCCTTCTCCTCTGGTGTTGGTTCCACCACGTCCTTCTTCACGCGGCCATGCATGGTGGCGAATGCTTTTCAAGGTGCACACCACGAACTGGCTCACACTGCTGGGCCCATTCAAGTGACACTACAACATATCCTCTAAATGGCAGTTCAAAGGAACACCACGTCCCCAAAAAGTGTGGGAACCTCGCTGTGCTAGCCACAAACTCGTCTGAGGCTCTTGGTCAAGGCTGCAACCTGTTAAAGTCAGAAGAAGGTGGAACTAGGCAATTCGGATGTCCATGGGCCCAGGGAATATTGGCCACAAGTATAGTTGGCACACATCTCCCATATAATAAAATCCCGGGCCGTGAGAAAGATCCTGAAGGTCGGAAGACCTTCACCTTCATGTCTGTTGCATACGCGCACGCGTTGTCAGGATGGCTTGAGCCAATTGGACGAGCAACGCGGCCGGGTTAAATCGATATTCTGGACCACACGGAGTGCTCCCCCAAATTAGATCAAATTCCCCGCTGTTTCTTGGGGGGGAAACTACAGGAACAATGCACATTGCTTAGGGTGTCATGTCTGGAATTTATTTATGTATAACACATTGGGTTGTTATATGCATTGTGTGTGTACATATATATATATACATATAAAAACATATATATATATATATATGTATATATATATTATGTAAACCGCACCCTATGTTTTGTTGGCTATATATATATATAAACACAGTGCACTTAAATAATACCGTGGCAAAACCCAAGAGACTTCGATGCACTCTGCCGTTTCTGGCGAAACTGCTGACCCATTGGCCCGCACAACAGTTAACGTTGACCCCAAATTACTAAACCCCTGTTTATGAATATGGGGGTGTTCCTGGGTTGAGTGGGGGTTCATCACTTTTGAAGGGGAGAACACCCACACCAGCGCCATCAGTTCTGCAAACTGACCTACAAGAACACCCAACGAACTGCGGAATCTCACTCTCAGCGACCTTAGCTTTGAGCTGCTCAAGGTGAACATCCAAACAAAATCCAAGAAAGAAACGATGAAGCCATGTTTCAGCATTTCTCAGTCTGCCCAGACGCTCCTGGGGCTTCCAGTGGAAGACCCAGACCCTCTAGAGGGGTTTTGGGGTCTTAAAACCTGGCCGTTTGAAGGCCCAAGACCGATCGGGAGCGTCTGGGTGGTGACTAATAAATCGCTTCCCCCGCCTTGATCTCCTGCTCAGGGCCTTCACCATCTCGGCCCTTGAGCTTCAGGATGCGCGCGCCGTTGGCGCCCGAGGTCGTGGTTGCCTCCTCGCGCTGTGAAAGCGCGGGCAATTTGTGGGAGGCAGTGGCGGGTCTTGATTGAGCTCATTGTCGAAAATCCGGGCGTTTTCGTGATGCGGGATGCGTTGACACTTTTTGTGCTTGCACAATTGATTGGAAATCCCAAGGCTTCGCAGAAGGAAGGATTGCTTGCACGCATGCTCGCACCTCTCCGTTGCCTGGGGACAAAGTTTGATGTCCTAGCGATTCTACGTCCAGAAAGATCCCCAAGCGTGTGCGTAAATCCAAAATGAAAGCATGGGAAGCTTGTGCCATCTACTTTGACTCAACAGTACACTTTGACAGCGTCCATACAATTGTCCAACACGCCCAGTTTGAAGAGTGGGACATGCTGTGTGCCTTTGTCTGGGGGAGTCCGTGCTTTTGTCGACCACGTATTCCCTTTGAAATGGGGAAAAAAGTGACGTATATGTATGTAAAGGCTACTTACACAATTACATACTGAGGAGCCAGCGAGAACCACACTGATGGACGCCTAAATGTCTATCAGGTGCTGCTGGACAAAGAAACAAGGCTCTGGGAACGGGTCGAAGCAGAGGTGTGTGTGTACACACACATAGATGTAGATAGATTAGGCACATGTACATGGCTTTGTCTCCAACTAGAAAACCCCAGCCAACCTTTTAAACCAACTTGTAAGGGGGTAGCCTCAAAAAAGAACATGCGATGTGCCAAGCATGTAAAACTACACTGTAAAAAAAAGAAGCAGGCATCGAATTCGCAGCACACGTGCGGTAACTTCAATCCAAGGCCTGGACAAAACCGTGCAGAAATGCACTCTTACAATCATTTACAATCTGTTGTTTGTTCTTGCTGCTGCACATCCAAGGCTCTTTTGAGGGCACCACCTTTTTTTGTGGCTTTGAATGGACACCACGAGGCACCCTGATGCCATTTTTTGGGCCCCCCCAGAAGGACGAGCCACCCATAAAATGGGCTTCGATGTTCCTTTGATTTCCGATCAACCAAAGGGTCCAAGAATAAATCCGTCACATCCTAGACGGGCTTCCATCCAAACGGTGGATTTCCTTTGGTTGTCCTTTTTGACTTTAAGCAAACCCTTCGGGTTGGTCTTCTTGCAAAGCCATTTGCGGCCGCTTCTCATCTGAAAACGGCCCACATGGTCAAAAGCCCTGTACAACACTTACCAGTCAAAACATTCCACTGAATCGGACCATTGCAAGACAAGCTAAGGCAAGATTATCCAAAATGGCCCTTGATGGTTCATATATACATCAACATGAACCATCAACATGAACCATCAAACACAAAGCACCTCAGCTTTTGCTCTCCCCCCCCAAGATGCGTTGTTTCCATCTGGTCAATATTTGTCGAACGTTACGTAAAATTCAACAGAGTTCGCGGCTTTCGGTCCACCGGATCCAGTCCATTCGCAACAAAGCACCTTCCGAAAAAGAACAAAAAAGAACACATCGCGGGATGGATCCTCCCAGGAGGTGATGGTGGTGCTGAGGCAAGTGGGAAGCGCCACATCCTTGAACTCCTCCCTCCTGAGGAAACATCGTTGGCGTGAAGCCTTCGGTGTCTGAACCGGAGGTGCTCTTTCTTGCATAGCCCTGGCAGCCTAACCCTGGCACAGCCTGGGGTACACGAAAGCAGACACTAACGGACAAAGGTTAGGGTGGGCTTAGGGGCGGGGGCCGAAACCGAAGCCTGGCGATGCTGAGGATGTTGAACACGATGCCTGGCCTGGGCCTGAGCCTCCCTAACTCTAAACCCACCCCAAATCCTTGTCCCACCGAGCCGCCAACCAACCTACCTAGACCTGAAAAACAGGATTAGCCCTGTGCCATGGCCAGATTAAAAAACAAAAAAACAACTTTCCCCTGAACCATGGCCCGCACAAATTGCACACAGAAAAAGAAACTGTCTGGTGCTGAAACATAGTTGGGTCTACCCTAAAAATACTAAAAACATGTCATGTGCTGACTATGTTTGATGTTTAATCTACCCTATATAAAACAGTCTTGGAGGAGACCCCCAGTGAAGGTGTGCCTTGTATACCCCAGATCTGTCGTTGCAACTTTGGGAATTAGGGGTCCTTCCACTGCGGATGCCCTATTCCGTCAAACAGAAAAAAACAAATAAACAAGCGCACACTCAAGCAAACAACCACCGCCCGTATGGCAGGTTGAAATCACAAGAGACGCATCTTTCAGGGTCGATTCCGTTGACCCTGAAAACTTGGCCGAGGCCGGCGTCAGCCGACAGAGGTGCTGCGTCAGAAGACCCTTTGACCCAGGACACGTGACCTTCATAGAAGCACGTCGGGTTTCTGGGGTGAGCGCTTTCTCTTTTGCTTGATGCTGTTTGTTTTGCTGGGAAGAGGGTCCCTTTCTCGCGCCAGTACGGTGCACTGAGGAACCTGGGTGTCCAAAAACCCCAAAAAAAGGACCCCGCGACGCGGACGCGGATCGCTTCGCCAAGGTGCTTGAAGTTCTCGACCTTTCTGGACCTGGGCCGTTTCTCCCGGGCGAAATCCAACGCAATCTCCCAAGAGCCATGGCCCCGATGTTGCTGGGGCGTTCCGGAAAGGTAGGGCTTTGGGTGGCTTAGGAAAATAGGGAGAGATACCCAAGCATCGCCAAATATCCAAGAGGTTTTCCATGTCAAGTTGTGTCTCAGTTTCCTCTTGGGTTGGGCCCTCACGAGCCCTGCGTCGCCGAGAATTGGTTTGAACTTCCAAATATCTACCTCCCACTCACAGGGGTCTTCTGGCATACAAGGACATGTTGCTAGATGGGCTTGTTTCTCTGATTTCCCGCTGTGCTTGGATTTTCACCAAGGGTCTGGCGCTGAAACTTTGGTCCTATGCATGTTTCTCTTGGTATTGCAAGCGCGACGGCACTGGCTTGAGTCTGGGTATTAAACGGGCAGCCCAGCCAGCCGAACAACTGGCCGTCAACATCGCGTCTCGGAATTGGATCCCCCCACAAATAAAATGGGTGGAACCAACCTAAAAAAGCGGCTTAACCTCAAAATATAGGCGGAAACAAGCGCAAAAAGCGGTTTGGCCGTTAAACCTCAAAATCGAGTTTCGACCTCTTTGACTCTTTGAGCGGTCAATTGAACCAACCCAATATAGTTCCTCAATGGAAATCCCAGCCTTCCCATCGCATCGCGCGAAAAACAAATGCTTCAAGAGACCCAGCGCCCGGCCTGTCGACGAGGTCCCCAAATCTGCCCAGGCGATCAAGCCGCTGCTCAAGCGCAGGCTCCTTACGTGAAGGCAAAAAGAGCTGGGGCTGTTTGTGTGCCGAATAGGTTTGGCACAGACCTTTACTTTCCATTGTGATTCTTGAATGAACCTCGAATGGAACTGCTAGTGTTCGAATTGAAGGAGCATGTCTGTTGCAAATCAGGAACCTAAGCGGCCCAGAATCGGGGCCTGAGATTCCCTCGTCGACCTCCATTTCTGGGTCGCTATCCCTTGGATGCCAAAAGTTTCAATTGTTGATCTGGTCTGGCACCTAAGCCAAGTTGTGGGTCAATTGAACATCGACACCCACCCTTTTTGCTTGGTTTAAAAGAAAGGCGAAACCCACATTTTGCTTGAGGGCTCCCGAAATCCCCAAGAAAACAAGACGATTCACCCAAACCTACACCACCGCCGTTAGAGGCTCCACACAAGGTTGAACCGCCCCCCCATTATATATATATATAAAAAAAAAGCACCGAAGCCCCGAAAGAAACCCACAACTCCGCTCAGCGCTAAACGGCGGAAGGCCAGGCGTCCACCTGATTCATCAGCTCGTTCTCCCAGCTCTTGAAGGCTACGTCCTTCTCCCGGGCCCTGGAGAGAAGACTCGCGACTCGCCACTCTGACATCTACACAAACACACACACCATAGTTGACCCCCTTTTCTCTCGGACCCCCCCCCCTCTTTGCTGGAAGGTGTCTTTGTAGTACATCGAATAAATCGGCAGCCCTGCAGTCAATAACTCCCTTTCCTGGACATTGGTGGGAAGGGTGTTGCAGCGAAGCAAACTACTGCATTGATTAGGCAGAAAGGCCAACTCCAGGTTTTTACATGCGTTTGCTTTATTAAGTTTATCTGTTCTGGCAACCTGCTACTTCTCTCATTTTTTTACCCATTTCCCAAACCAAAGAGAGACATCCACGGGTGTTTGTGTTGCTCTATCCTCAGCTTGTTAAAATTGTTAGTTAGTTTGATTGACTACATACTCGGTCGGAACCATGTTGCGGAATTGCCAAGCCACATGAAGGAACCAGCGTAGCCTTTGAGAACCCAAATGTCCGAGTCAATATGCAGGTTCTTGTGTTAGAGTCCGATTCGTTGTGTCAAAAGGAGGTTTCACAAGCAACACAGGCCTCATGTCCCAAATAGGTTTGCTTGTAACCACAGGCCCCAGTCTCCGAATACATCATGAACAGCCCCTATAATCCAAAGTGTTTTTGTCACAGCTCCATATTCCAACTGCGCTTTATTTGTAACCCAGGGGGGGGGTCTGGGGGGGGGGTTGGTCAACTATGGACACATGCCAGTACCTAAGCCACACACGGAGGTTGCTGATCTTAACCAACGGATCGAGGAGATACTAGTGGACAGTTGGCAGGCCATGAATATGTTGAGCATGCCAACAGCCCAGTTGCCTGGCTCAGGCGCCGGGAAAGGATTGGCGAACCCCAACTTGCCTGCTTTTCAACCATGTCCGAAATCCCAACCGTCCAAAAAACATTGGTTTGGGGTGTTGGTGGGTGATCTTGTTGTTGGGGGATTACACTTTTTGAGTTGGTTTTCAAGGAAACCCGGAATGAACACCGGCATTTTGTGGGTTTCCCTTTGGGACAAACACCAGGGCCCCAGAACGAGTTGCAACTTGAGGAAGTGCATTGGATGATGAACTCCCTTGAGTGGAGTCTCACCAAAAGCCGATCCAATGAACATGAACACAAACTCGCTTCCTAAGTGAACTGGCCCCATGTCCGAGCTCTTGTTCAACAACCAAAAAGGCTCTGCCCACAAAGTAAACAACAACACAACACGGACAAATGGGTGTGTGTCAAAGTAGGACCAACTTGGGCGTCGTTTTCCTAATTTGGTGTGCTTCGAACACATTCCCATGACAAACTCTTGGTATATCCCTAGATGACAACTTGTTGGTAACCCCAGCCTTGGTTCTGGAAAGGACTTGGCCAAAACAACCATCTCTCCTTGAAACCCCAAACAAAGCAATCGTCAAAACCACTACCACCCGTTTCTGAGCAAGTAACAAAATGGTGAGATGTCAAGATATCGACCCACATGGATGGAAAGTGCGGTGCTGGCAGCCAAACGCCGTCTTTGCCCTTTTGAACCCTTTAAAGGGCGCCATTCTCACATAGGTGTCCTTGTTGGGGACGTAGCTAGCCCTGGTAGATGATTAAACCACCAGGTCAACCAGGAACCGACATCTATTCTACCAAAACAACCACCAAGGACACCTATGCATTCTCACCGCGGCATCGGATCCCACGGAAAATTTCCGCCACTCCGCCCGCCTGAGCGCCAGCTTCAGGCGCAGGGCCACGCTGGGCACCGACTGGGCCCTCTCATTCAGCCGTTCCTTGAGCTGCCTGGAATCGGAAAGGCCATGGGTGAAAACCCAAATCGTTTCCCCAGTGAACATCCCAATCCCCACTAAAATCGGTTCTACAATGGGTGGTGAATTCACCTACCCCAAAATGGTATACCATTGGTTTTGACCCTTCCTGTTTGATTTTGAGCCACACCCACATCCTTTCCGGGGGCAAGATCACCCACCAACACAAGTTGGGGTACTGGCATGCGCGTACCTGGAGTCGCCATGACTCTGTAAAAATGGGGTCATTGCCCAGAATAAAGGGTCATTGACCCATTTTTACAGGGTCATGGAGACTCCAGGTTAACAGCGGGTGTCTGCGTCATCGACCTCGAGAGTATCGCCACAACTGGTTGGTTTCCTGTTCTGGTGGAAAGGTTCGACACCTGGCCCGCAAGATGAACCGGCAACTGGGACCCCCTTTTGGTTGGTTGCAATTGGCAACCAAAAGCAAACCGTGGCCATTTCGGGGCTCCAATATTTCCATTTTGAGGCGGTTGAGGAAAGTGACCACATTTTGAGGGGCACGTTCTCTAATATAGACTTGGCGGGAAGCTGTACGGGAAAAAATGAGGATGTCACTGTGGATCCAGAAGGCTCTTTGGGGCTTTCTGCGACTTTGTATTGCCGGCCCTGAACACCATCAAGGGGATCCATGAACAATGCGTTTATGAACATCAAACAAAAAGGGAATCCCAAAAAAAAAGGTGTCTCGGTTTTTGAGGGTACTCTTTTGCTGTGGCTTGGTTATCAAAAGGAAACCAATTTTTGAAACAATTCGAACTCCTTGGGGTTCAACCCACGGTTGTCTCTCCGAGCCGCTGGTGAAAATGGCTGTCCGGGTCGTAATGGTCGAGCCTCAAACCGGGCGAGCGCCTGGTCTCTGATCCCAAAATGGATGGCTTCTGAAACAGGGATCCTTACCATAGAAACACCAGAACATTGCAACTTGTCAATGGAGGGGTTCCAACTTTATCTTGGTGGAAAAAGCAACATGTTTCAAATGGTTGCAAAATGGAGATCTTTTAAAGAGCCCTGTGAAAGTTGGTTCGTGAAAGCCACGAATCAAAGGGGATTCGTGGCCCAGTGATAGGAGAACCACAGGTCCGCTTCTTTTTGAGGTCGATTCCATTTTTTTGGGGGAAACCACCACCCAACAAAAGAGTGTGCGATGGAATCGCTGAAAAGAGAAAACTAATGGGCCCTAAGCCCACTGAGAAAGACTCTGAACAAACCTTCCGAGACGTGGGGGGCTACTCTCTCACCTGATATACTCACATGCAACCAACAAAAATCCGAACATACTTCCTAATTGGATGGGCCGGACAACCGAGCAAACCCAGTGTGTTGATCAGGCTGACCGGGACAACCCAACATTGGTGTTTTTTTTGATGGTTCCCCTTTTTTTGGTTAGCTTTGAAGGGAACTCAAAGGAAAACACACACACACACACAGTTTTGGGGGTCCCAGAAAAAAATACCCACACGTCAGAACTCGACTGATTGGGCCCCTGTCAGGCAGCTTCATGGCGCGAAGGGGATCGAACATCTCACGGGTGGGGGTGGGGTGGGGGGGTGAAGGAAACGCCCATGTTGGCAGCAAATTACAGACTAGCTCCTCCAGTTTTGGAGGTTAGAATAAGGGTACCGTTTCTTTTTTCTGTAGTCTATTTTAGTAGGGGAAGCCTCCCCCCTAAAAGGGCAAAAGCGCATTACTGGGGGACCCAGCAGAGATCCATCCATCAACTAAGTTGGTGCCACGTTTAGAAGATTGGGTTGTATGGGACGCCAAAGTGCCCACAACGCAAAGTGGTCAAAGTGGCCGGGGGCAATCAAACAGCAAACCTGTGCTGCCGGTTGTGTGAGAAGCAGGCGCAAAACAATGCCGCGTGCTTCCAAGAGCTGTCCAATGACCCACGAAACGGCGCCAGCGGCGGTTCCCCCTCAACAGGGCCACGTGTGGGGGCACCACATTCATCAAGTTTGCTTGAGTCCCTTGTTCGTTTTTGACCGAGTTCCCTTTGAAAAGGGGTGATATTTGTTTGGGGACATATAGGAAATCCTGCGGGAAGAAAATAACAAAAACGAACAAACATCCTTTAGGTGACTCGTTTTGTTTTTCATGTTTTTTCTATGTTGTTTTGTGTTCTTTTCCGTTTTTCGGGGGGCATAATCTACCAACCCCCTCCCCCGCAAAATTCGCCGCGAGCGGCAGCTGCTCCAGCTGAAGCTGCAGCTCCTCCTGCGGCCCACGGTCCCAGAGCCGCAGCGCCGCCTGCAACAGCCTGCAGTCGCATCTGATATGGCTGTGGCTCAAAAACATGTACCAAAATGGCACCTTGGGAAATGGAGCCACGACTATCACCTGCGTAACCCTGGCTCTTTAAATTTGAGCCACACCCATCTGGCGAGAAAAAACACAAAAAACGCCTAGGTGGTTGGTAGGCGGTAAATAGGCAAAAACCCTACCTCCCAAACCCATACCGGGGGGCATGCCCTTGACATTCGAGGGGCCTCAGGTTTCAGGTACCCTCCTGAAGGCGAAGGGTTTGTGCACAGATGTTCGTAGAAAGACAACTTTTCCTCTTGGAAAGGGGCCTTTTGTTGCACAAACCCATGCTAGTTGCTGGGCAGGTGTTTTGTTTTTTCGACGGAAGCCCAGGCTCTGTGGTTCCGACTGAACAGGCTATCCCAGGCTCTGGGAGGTCTCGGGCTTTCAGAAAGGATTCAAAGGAGGGTAGGGGGGTCCGGGGCTGGGAATACCGGGATACTGGTTGCTGGTTTGGCAGGTAAGCCCAAAAACTCCGAAACTCCTCATTTGGGCACTGGGCCCAAAACCGCCTGAGTTCCGAGGGGAAAAGGCTGTAGCTAGTTGCTTACATGAGTCCTACTGGCTTGGTGATTTTAGTTTCAATGTAGTTGAGTTCCAAGTTAATTCAACTTCAAGGTGATTTATTTCAGCTTGCGGTTTTTGGGTGGAATGAATGTAAAGGGACACCCCCCGCTCCAAAACAAAACACTTGGTACCTCCTTAGCATGTCAAAATTTGGGGGGAACCTTGATGAATATGGCTCTGCAAGATATCGCATGAACTCCTGGTCTGCCATCACGCCCTCACGCTGAGACCCAGGTGCAGTGGTGTGAAACTTGCACATTGCCCCACTTTGCTTGGAATGCTATTTGGAAAATAAATCAAGGGCTTCAAAACCTCTGCTGACTCCAAAAACCCAGCAAATCTTGGTCCCATCTGTCGAATCTCGGGCCCCGAGTCTCCGACTTTGAGCGCAAATCAGCAAGGGCATTGCTCATGAATCTTGTTTCATCATGGATGGATTGAGCCCTTTCATCCTGCAAGGGAAGAGCTGCCGAATAGATCCCAATCAAAGAGGGCAGCGTTTCATGGTCGAACCAGCGCCCAAAGCTCACCAAAGAAATGCCCAACAACCCGTATCCGCCTTGTGGGCTCTACCAAAAAGATAAGCACTGGTACCAAGGCCTCCGAAAAGAAATGAAACAAAACAAAGGAGAGCCGAATCTACTGAAATGGCCGAGACTTCAGAAACCCATGCATGCCACCAGGTAAAGAAATGGTAAACGTGCACCATGTCTTAATGGGCAGAGGGAAAACATGAGATCAAGCCCATCAACATGACCTCCTGCTGCATGCGTTCCCAGCAGCCGCTCTAGTGTGCCGTGTTGGCGAGGTGGATGTCTCAGAATCATTTTGAGGATGACCAAGCCTCACAAGACAACTCGCCACATAACGATCTGTTTATGTGAAAGTCCCAACCGATCAGAGCAGTCTCTAGGCTTCTGACCGGGCAACATGTTGTTCTAAGTGGTGTCTCTTAAACTTTGAGCCTGCTCCGGATGACGCGCCCCAGTTCAATGATCGGGAAGCAGGGTAGTACAAGTAGGGCATCTTGTGCATAATGCCAACATCCGCGTGGAGAACCGAACACACAAAAGCTTAAACGTCCTGAACGCCGTGGAGCTCCAGCACCAGTAAAAAGTGCATACATGTGTGTTTTGTACATACACACGCATATATAATATTGTTTCTGGATATATACTATTTAGTTGATGATACGTTGTGAACATATGCATATATTGCCACACTCTAAACAAATATGCCTTGCTCATCGTAGATGTGTGGTTCCGCAAAATGGTCGTGAAGTTCTGTGTGGAAGTATGAGATATTGTTAGCTTGTACATAGCCATTACAGACCTGTCGCTGTAATTCCCGCTGATTCACTGCTGAGTACTTCTAGATTGTGCGGGACCAGTGTGGGGCACTCCTAATGTTGGAAGGAGAACGGAGCTGAGGCTGCGCATACTAGCCTTGGGTTTGTTTTCAGATGAGCAAACCCTCGTTTGGAGGAGCAGCTAAGAGAAAATATCAGGGTAAATAATAAGAGAGGGCTGAATACCTACATACATTGTTCTCCTATGATCATGCTCTTCTAGTTGGCTTTAACGTCCCCAACCCTATTCTAATTGTCTAGACCCTTAGACCCTTATAAGTACCAACTCCTTCAGGTAACCACCCCGCTTTCGCCTGCGCGTGAGGCCACTACGGCCGGAGCATCCTCTCCAGGTCCAGGTCGGTCGCGGGTGGTCGCAATCTCTTCGATTTTGCAGATCAAGCGCTCCTTAGAGCGGGGGGCAAACCAGGCTTTGAAGAAGCTCTCTTGGCTCCATCTGAAAATCTGGCTGTGGCTCAAAACTGGGCACCCAGAAATGGAATCCTGGTAAATGGAACCATGGACTGAAACCTGCGGTCCCCTGGTGGTTTAATTTTGGCTCATACCCATCTGAAAGGGATCCAAGTAAAGGTGAAGTGGGGATGAGCGGGGAACTGTGCTAGTGATATTTGTCCAAATGGAATCAGGGCCAGGCTTTCCGCTGCCCTGAGCAGCAAAATTCGACCACCTGTTTTTACATTCAATCTGCGAAATGCGCAATCATTCCTAAATATGTAATGTCTTTCTCTATTTCTTTCTTTCTTTCTTTGTGTGCACCATGTCGCCTACGCGCTAAGTGGAAGAACATGCATGTCCAGGGTCACCACCTGCCAGTTAGGGTCCGCGCCTAGGTGAGCTTCCCATCAAATATGCAGTTCAAGGTGAAGTATGCTCCAAAACCCAGCTATGTTTTCCGCCCAGTGGCATGATGATACCCTAATGTGGATTAAATTATACAAAGGGGGAACTAACCAAAACAAGACAAAGCAGGGTTCCTTGAGGGATACGTTCCCACCCACCTGCTTTAGTAAATCAGCTGGTAAAGGTGGTCTTTTCACTGGAGCCACAACAGGGGTGAAGCAATAGGGGGCCCGAATTATGTGTGGCTTGAAAGGGGAAACAAAGGCAAACCACCTGCTGCGCTTCCACAATTTGAGACAGACCCGCTGGTTGCCACGGAGACTCGTGCCAATCCACCTCCTGCACATTGCAGGCGTCCTCGGGGTTCTCCCGAGGCTCCCGAGGCTCCTGACATGACGCAAGCGGAGGGTGGCGGCTCTCTTCCGAGAATTCTGCTCGCTTCCGGAGAGTGGATGGGCCAAAACTTTAGGGGTTGATTCCCCATTCTTTTCAACCATCGTTCTTTTCAAAAACCAGCTGGTTCCCCTGGGGTTCTGATGGTTTTCTGAAAAGAAGAATCCCTGAAAATCCCCAGAAAAACAAGTCCAAGCTGAAGTGGCCTGCCCAAAGTAAAAAACAACCTGCTCAGGATTGGCATGCCAGGGCTGCCCTGGGCGTCTGACAGTCCAGACATGCCCCAACCAAAATGCGGGGGCTTCCCTATGTGTCCCCTTAAAGCACACCCCTACCAAGGGAACTCAAAGGTGATGCTCAAGCTCACCAAATAGGGACTACTTGTGGGACGCGTTAAATCTGTGTCTTAGGGGGGGGGCTCAACAAATGCGAGGTATCGCTTGCAACCAAGCCATCCAACGGGCCTCAGAAGGGCTTTGAGGCCCAACAAGTTGAGTTCCCCCCCAAAAAAATCAAGCAGAAAAACTTGCGGGTGGCCACATGCCAGTGAAACAAACCCGAGAAGCCAAAAGGTAAACACACAGGGCACATCCTTCTACAGGACAAGGGATGTGAACCGCTTCACGTTTTCACAGCCTCAGGACACGCCGAGTTTTTGGTTCTACAAGCCCAGCGTTCTGGACGGTCCCTTGGGCGTTGCACCGTGGAACGTTGGAGGTTGACCGTCTGGCTCGAGGGTGTCCAAGTGTTTCACCTTTAAACACGCCGCAAGGGAACTCACACACATATTTCATGGCCCTCTTTGGTGGCATCCAAAAAGGCCCTTGGCATGCGAGTTCCTCATCCCTGGCCACATTTCCCAGGTGTCCAGGTGGGTGTCTTTTTCTAAGGCTATGCTTTCTGGGTTGGTTTCTGTCGGGAACCAAAAAGGAACCCCGTTGGCCCATTGAGACTACCACAACTGGATGGTCTTAGGTTTCCCTTCAACCCCAAAAAAAGTCCCGGCCCCCTCTCCGGCCAAAAAAAGAAGTATCCAAAGAAGACAAAGCGCAACCGGATTTGGCCCTGCCTCCAGGTCTTGGAGGAGCTGGCGAACAAAGGCCACCAGCCACCGCACATCCTCCTGCCGTTTGAGCGAGCGCCCAGGAGGCAGTCCAAACGGCGGTCGCCAGTGCGATCGCCAGGGAAGGAGTTGGAATGACCCGAATTCGGGGATTTGCGAATAAAGAAAACAGGCTTTGAACCCAGGATTTGAAAATGTGTGAATGAACATAATTCGGGAATGTGGGAATGAATCCAGGCTTTGGTCCCCTTAAAGGAAACCACCAGTTGGATGGCTTATGTCGGGGTCATTCCACAACTCTCATTCCGTGCCGATTTCGCACCAGCAAGTTGTAGTTGTCTCAAAATAGCAACGGTTCTCTTCTTGGCTTCCCAAAGCAAGCCCCTAGAATTAAGAAGCCGCAACCCCCCCCCCTTTACCCCCCCTGCTTTGGGCCAAATAGGTGGGAAGCTTCCCGAAAGCCTTGGGAAGCTTCCGGAAGCCTTGCGGAAGCTTCCGGAAGCCTTAGGGAAGCTTCGGGAAAAAGGGGGGGGAGATTGAAACAAGGGTGGTCCCCCCCTCCCCCCCCTTTTTCCCGAAGCTTCCAGAAGCTTCCCCAAGGCAAGGCTTGGCTGTCAGGTGGGGTTGGCCAACTGTGGTGTCACAGCGGACATCATCTCACTTAAGGTGGGCCAAAGGCTTGGCTGTCAGAGCCCGGAGCAAGTGTTGCGTGAGCTGGGTTATTGGTCAGAGATGCCTGAGGCCTTGCTTGCGGTTGCTCTCAGAACGAAACTCTATTCAAGGGGGAAAAGAACGGAATGCATTGAACAACTGGGCTAGGGACTTCGCATCAAGAAATTGTCTATGTGTGCCCCCGTTGCGCAGAAGTCCAAAGTGTGTGGCCCGCTGGGGCTGCCAAGTGGAGCAAACGAAGAAACTTTTCCTAGGTCCTCAAGATTTGAGAGGTTAGAATAAGGGTACCAACTTTGTTCTGTAGTCTATTTAGTAGGGGAACCCTCCCAACCAAAAAACGGGTGAGAAAGGGCACTGGGGGACCTAGTTTCTCTCAGCTAAGATTGCCTGAGGAAAAGCTGAACAGACACCTGGACAGTGGACGCCCACAAGCGATCCGACCCCCTAAATACTATGTTGTTTTCCTTCCGACAAGGATACAACTCCCACCCCCCCTCCCTTCCAAATTACGCCAGGTTTGAAAGAGGTGGGTGGGCATGAACAAAAACAATGAATTACACTTCCTTTCTCCTTGTGGGGCAATCTTCAAAATTAGGTTTTCCTCCAATAGAATCTGGTGACGATCGAGGGGCCCTCAGTGGAACGGAGGGGCCCTCAGTCCTCCGATGCAAAGGGCGCCCATGGGTGTAGCAGTACATGGAAGTCAGTATCTGGAGTCTCCATGACCCTTAAAAAGTGGGGTCTTTACCCAAAATGATGGGGTCATGACCCCATTTTTAAAGGGTCATGGAGACTCCAGGTAGGTATTTGTTGGTAGCGCCGTAGAAACCTCTGGCCCGCTCTCCTGCACGAGCTCCAGCATCGCAGGCAGGGTGATCTTCCATTCCTCAAGGGTGTCAAAGGAATTGGGAGGAGCCACAATGGCGCAACGTTTTTTGTCTGGGTTCCGAATTGAAGCCCACCTGCAAAAGGGTAGCCTCAGAAAATAAGCACGCAAACAACCAAACCACACACCACACACCCACTTGTCCAAAGAACCGCAAACCAATGGTTCGAACTCTGAACACGTCTTCACGCTGCCTCCTTCTGTGCAATGCACCCATCTGGGTACGCGAGCCTGCTCCATGGAAAGAAGGTTGACTTGACTAGACACGGAGGGACAAAAACCAAAGGTCAGTCTGAAGCAAGCATAATTTGCAATTCGCCCAACAAAACTGAGCTTCACCTTTTGGGATGACTAAAACTGTCAAAACCATCGGCTTTAAGCAAGATTCCGTCGGGCTCCATTTCCTTTCCACCAGCGCGATGAGCCGCATCAGCAAGAAGAGGCCGGCCCCCTCATCGCCTGCAATTTCGCCCTTTCCAGTACGGAACCCTCACATGCATCTATAAAAGCCCAGGGGTTGATTGCACCAATGCAAGCCACGCACACTGGTGTGGGTGTGTTTTTTCTTTAGAGACCCCCAAATGTGTCTTCCTTTTCTTTTGGTTTCCCTTACCGCCAAAAACGTTGTATCCTTAAAAACGACACACCCGTGTCTTGACCCTGGCTCACAAAAGGCAAGCATGCAACGTAGAGTTTGGCCCACGCCTTGATCGGCCTGTCTCTGCAGATGTGCGTTGCCTTGCGAAGACCACCTCAAAGACAGCAGGCAACCAGGGGAAACGACCGTGGCGTGGCGTGGGGATCGCCCATGATCCCGTGTGCGGATGTGTAAATGATGCACAGAGGTCAAAAGGGGGTCAAAGTATATCCTCCCGGGTCTGGCAGAAATGGACCCTTAAAGAACCCTCCATTACTGAGTGGACCGGCCACAAAAGTCCGAAATAGTCGTTTGCCACCAAAATGATCTCCCCAAACGGTTCTAAGTCCATGTTTTCAGGGAGTGACACCCTCCATTCCTTGGATCCGCGTTTGCGCCGGATTTGCGCCGAGGAGCTGTTCCATGTCGTGCAGCGAGAGCTTGGAGCTACAGGAGTGGCCGCGTGCGCAGGCTCTGCACAGGGAGAGCCTGAGACAGTTGTTTGCTTAACCCACCACAACCCAAACCTAGGTCCTCCAGTAGAGAGGGTAGAATAAGGGTACCCTTTTTTCAGTGGTCCATTTTAGTGGGGGAACCCTACCCCCAAAACAGGGTAAAAGGGCACCACTGGCGAATCTAGAAACGGTATGGCCTTGCAAAAACCTGACTGGTTTTTCACACGGCCCCCAAACCTAAAAATGAAGATCACGGCTTTTTCCCAACAGCTGGAAGCTTGGGGGACGAATTTAACGTTCTTCACCTCCTCGTCTGCTCTTGCTTGGGCGAGCTACCAAGCTCTGGAATTGTTCGGAGCGGCTCCAGGCTAGGGTTCCGCAAGGGTTCCGGGGCTGTTGGGGATATCACATACCCTAGGGCTCATGACCCCTCCAACACAGGCCTCCAGGCCCTCCGCAGAACCCGGACCGCTAAGGGGCCCTTGAAAACAACCCATTCTGAGCCCAGAAATAATCGGGAGCCTTGGGGTGGGCTGATTTTCTATGCTGAAGACGGGGACCCGAACGACCACAACCCGATAACCCGGCCCGCCAGACCTAGGGGGGAAAACGACCACTGGGAATCCGTTACCTAGAAATCCACGTACAACCTGCCAGGGAAAGCTCTCCTTAAAATGGCCCGACAGGTCGTCCAAAGCCACGGAAAAGGATAACTTTTACCGCCGCCAGAATTCCGAGGATGTCCCCACCTTCCACACTCTGCTTCAGGGTAGCTGAACAAATCCTCAACATTGCTGGAGATGGCCGCTGTGGGTCATCCCAAACACGCTGCCACTGTCCAAAAGGGACTTTGGAAACTGTCCCCGAAACGACACAAGCCACGCTAGAAACTGCTTGCTTGCCCTGCTTGCCCTATGGGAAACGCCGCTTTGTCACCTGGCTTTAGAACAAACAAACCAGGCGGTGATTCCTGCACACCCCGCTCGACCCCTGATTTAGGTACCAAACACTTTGAAGGTGGTTCCCTATTGAAACTCACAGCCAAATGGACCGTAGACTGGACAATGGATAGAATACAACCCCACTTTGCTGTTCCTGAACCTCACCACGATTAAAACAGTGGGGTCTCCATTGGTTTTGCTTCAAACACGCAAAAAAAGGTAACCTCCAAAAAATACAGACCCAAATGGACCGTAGATTAGACGTGTTTTTCCTAAACCTCACACAAAATACACATTTGCAAACCTGACCGACCGCTCCTGCAGATTTTGCATGTCTCGCAGACCCCCAGTTCGCATCGCTCGACGTGCTGCGGATCGAGGCCTGAGATTCTCAGATCGTAGGCCTTTGGGAGGGGCTGGGGGTGGGTGTCATGAGGGCCGCCAAACCGGGGGTCTGACAAGGAGATTGTTCATGGTCCGTCATATGATTTCTGATGTCCAGTACTTGTACCTTGTCAAGGGATTTGCCAAAGTCACCCTTTTTGACCCCTTACGCACATCCTGAGAAGGTACTTCGGCCCTCTTGGAACATCCTGCTGTTTCCGTTTGCAAAATACTCCCTCTCGTGCTTGTGCTGGCCTCATGCTGGTGTTCTTGTGATTTTTGGAGTCTCCACATGTTCAACTCTCCAAGTGGGACAATCCCCCGGGGCCGGGAAAAAATCGATCGAATTTCGGAGTGGCTTTGTGGGGCAATATATGGGGAGCTCCAACATGGGCCCTTTCCTCTTGCCCTTTTTGTTCACCTGTGAAAAAATTGGCACTCTCGAAAACACACAGACACACTTGTTTCCCCAATCCGGCACAAAGCTCGGATGGTCTGCGGGGTTCCGGGGCAAGTCCGGGGTGAGGGCATAGCCAAAGGCAAGTCACGCCATAGAGCAAGCCACACATCTTGACCCCCCAAAGAACACTTTCCGAAACCGGGGAGCAGCAGGAGAAGAAGATGCCCTGTTCTGGACATCGCTCCTGCACCACCTGCAGCTCGTCCTTGCCATGGAAGGCCACATCGGTAAACCAAACCATACTCCCCTGCAAATCAACACATATCAATACAACCCCACCCCAGACAAAATACATTACCTTCCCTCCCACTAACGTGGCAACCAGCCGGGGGATTACTTCAAAAGGAAATTCGTCTTCCAGGCACCTCCCCACAGGTGCCATGTTAGTTGGAGGAAGGGTACCGCTGGAGGAATCTCGTTTGCCGGGACCCCTGCTTCTTTCCCCTCCCAGCTGCAAGGACTGGCTACTCGTCTGCGTCCTCGTCTTCCGGAGTCATTCGCCCGACCCCCCGCGCAGCCCGATCGGGGCCAAGGCCCCGGTGCGCCCGGTGCAGCTGTGAGAAAGGCGGCGGGGCAGTGGCGTTCGCGTCGGATGGACAAACTCGAGGCCCCGGGTGAATGACAAGATTTCACCAACCTGAAACTTGCGGTGGTTGGGGGGATATTCCCCACATAAACCCAGCATTTGGGGTGAATTCGGTCGTGTGAGGTCGATATAATTCACCCAGTTGGTTGCTGTTGACCCCTCTGCAAAACGTTTGGCCTTTTGTGGGTCAACTGGAAAATCCACGGCTTCCCCAAAAAAAACAGTCCAAAGATCCAACTAAATAGCCGTAAAGGATTTTGGTATGGTTGTGAAGTCCATTCAGCAAAACACGTGCATTGGTATATCTGTAAAGGTGGAGCAAGGGCTGCCAAGCACAGATTACTCATGCCCGAGCTGTAAAATATCAGCATTTGCAACCCCGCAATCAGACTCCCTGGTACGTCAAATACAAACGAACCATGTTTGGGACAAGTTACAACGCCATTGACGGGTCAAACGGGCTCGGCATACGCACAGCAATGAGCTTTGAAGTCTCGATCTTGGCACCCTACTATCCACTGTGTGGACCCCGAAGCAAGCTTTAGCAAACGGAATGACCTGGAGTCTCCGTCTGACCTTTAAACATGGAGTCATGACCCCTTTATTTTGGGTAAAATTACTAAGGCCACGGACACTACATTTTCTAGCTTCCCTATCTCATGCAAGCTTGCCGTGTCTGCAACTTAGCGTCGCGTGTTGCCCACCAAGGGAGACATGCAAAAGCAAATTTGTATGTACGTGTTGCGTGAGCGACGTTGATATCTGCACAAACGGAACACTTGATTGCCCGAAGAAGCTCAAAGTCAAAGGTTCACCTATTGGGCCATGACTATGGACCAAAAAGGGAAAACCACAAGGTCAGACCCGGTCGATTCGCTTTGGCCAAGTGAGAACATCAAACCAGGTCGCGACCCATGTGGGTTGTCCTTTTCCAATTTCAAACCACACAAAAGGAGTAGTCTCAAAAAAAAAAAAAAAAAAAAATCGAGCGGCCTTTCCAAGCTCAGTTCCCCCCCCCCCCTCGCGCCCCTCGCGCCCCTCGCGCCCCTCACGCCCACCTTGAAGCTGGATGCAATTGATGCAGCGAACTGCGCGAGCGAGCGCAGTGACGCGCTGGGAAGCGCGAGGACATGGGTCCTTCTCTTTTGGTCCAAACCACAACTCTAAACCCCGGCCTTAAGGGCCACATGAATTCTTGGTTTGGATTTGAACCGCGTCGAAGGATTGGGAAAAAATGGCTTGGAAGGGCCCACGAAAACCGGTGCGGTGATGCCTTTGAAGCTTCCCTTCCAAAAACCCCCCAAAAAAAGAAACAAAATAGTTGTCAAATAAAAGGAAAACCCTCAAACACACCGAAAATATGGAAAATAGTTGTCCTGAAGGGGACGCCAGTGGGAACCCGACACTTGCTTGTGTGGAGTCTCACCGTTGGAGACAAGCCTCCGTGTCCGGCGGCTACTTCTGTGTCCGGGAAACCAGAAATACCTCAAAGTTCCAATGCACATCATGTGTAAACCAAACGCCAACGTGTCCGCCCCTCAAACATTCACACTGGTAAGGAATAACATGGCCAAACACTGCGACAGGATTGCTCCCGAAGCGTTCCTACGGGAAAAGAGCTCTAGGTCATGTCAATGTGGGTGTCCTAGCTTTGTAAAGTTGGCCACATATGACTGATGATCATGCATCGGGATATCAACACTCCGTCACTCGTCGGGTGAATGCATTGTGTATTGCTGGATATTAAACATGCAACCAGCCAACAGCCAAATACAAACGCACGCGAAGCTCACAGTTGAACTGAGTCCACAGTCGGAGAAAGTGAACAGGGTCCACAGAATGCAGAGCGCACGGGTCGAATTCTGCTACGCGTATATGCCAAGTTTGGGGTATCGGCACGAGTCATGAAGAGAAGCAGTGACCACACAAAAGATCCCCGTTCCCCCAAAGAAGTAGGCGTGCTAAACAGCAGGCTTCGCTGAGTTCGCCTTACGGCCCTTTTGGCATTCTCCTGAAAAGCGCCGGCAAAAAGAGTCCTCAAGTGGTGGTGAACATGGAAACGATCATCTTGGGAAGGCCCCCCCCCACACAAAGAAAAGTCTTGATAGAGAGAGAAAGAGACCAACACATCAATTCAGTCCTCTGAAAAAAAAGGGCTTAGACATCGCGCGGGCAATGTGGAAAACCATGACTGCCGAAACAGCTTCAATGGGATGCCGCGACCGACCGTGTTTGGGATATTTAGAGCAGCTGCCGGCCTACCCTCTCCCCCAGAGAGACGAAAGCATTAATGTCTTTGAATTGGAGCTTATGCAGCTCACGCGCAAAAACCTGCCTGGCTTAGTATTTTGTGAGAACGGGCCATTGATGGATTAGTAAAAAGAAAAAGCATCAGAATTAATACAAAATAAACAAGATAGAAAATATTATAAGATCCTAATATCAACATCCAAAAGAGAAAGAAGAACAACATGAAAGCAACTAAAAATCATTTGGAATCTTCTTTAGAATTATTGCATCATGATATTTTAATAGTGTCATAATGCTTTTTAGATAAGATCCTCAACTTTATGGCTTACCTTCTTTCTCCTTCATGTGATTCCTCTTTCCATCTCCTTTCATTTTTATTTTATGTTGTTGAAATTATGAAAGTTGATGGATGAAGAAGAAAGACAAGCAACAATAAAAAAAAAGAAGGAAAGTAAAAGATAAGAACCGAGAGAAGAGAAAGGCATTCCATCTAATTCACTTCCTTCGTTCCTCAGCTTTTAGGAGTCAATATTTATTGTCTGGAGTCTCAGAAAGTCCTTCACAGCTAATAAATCTTCAAGTTGTAACAGCCAAGAATCAGGAAGGAGATACAAATAACCAGATATTATTATAAGCATTGCAAGGAAAGGAGAATAAAACAAATATGATCAGAGGACAAGGATATGATTGTAAATGAGATTTCATTAGTAATACAAAATATATATTCAACATGATAATAATAGATTTATCTGAGGCACGAAGGTCTAGTTTCTGAATCTTCTTTGCAACTATTTCTGAGAATTGGACAAGAGAATGAAAGTCTTCACAGAAAGGACTGGTATAAAGGGAATAATTCTTTTTGGACTCTTATTAGCTGTAACAACTTTAGAAAAGGAACATAACAAATATAATTAAAAAAAAAGATTAACAAGAAAGAAATGGAAAGATGTAATCATAAAGACTCAGGAACCATCATAATCCACTTATCTCTTTCCTTTTCCTCTTCTTTCGGTTTCTAATGCTTGTTCACCCACTTTTCCAAATTGATTTAAGATGAGGAAGATGTAAAAAGGATTATGATGGTAAAATAGCTTTTGGATAGCTTTTATGTTTGGTGTCATCATCTTTTCCATCATTATCTTATCATTTCCTTATCCAATATTAACCCTTTTAATTTCTGGAACTATTTCTACATGATATGATGCCATCTCTAAAATCCTTGTATTTGGGTTATTAATCTGTTTCCGAGAGAAGCGAATGAACGGTTGGCAAATATCTTTTCATGTTGGGATTTCTCTTTTATCACTTCCTCACGGTTTAATTTCTGAGATTTCTTTTGTCTTTTCGTTCGGAATCCTTCTTACCATTCATCTATCCCTTTCCCTTCTGTCTTTTTCCTTGTAATCCAAAATCCTTGACCTGGCTCCGGGCTTGGTCTGCAGCGATACGGGTGTGTGCTTCTTGTTTGACCCTACCCCTTTTCAGGTTGGGTTGAACGGAAGTCAAAAGGACAAAACAACACTTATGTTTTCTTAGGAAAGCCTCACCTGTCGGCGGAGTCCTCAGTCCATTGCCTCAACTCTGCGAACATTTGTTGCTCCGATCGAACTTTTATCTTTTTCACTGTACCGCGACGTACTGTTTTTGTTGCCACGGATAGGCTGCCCCCCTAGGCCAGTGTTTGGCTGTTGCACTATCCAAAACCCCATGGATGAATCCTGGTCCCAGAACTGGAAAACGGAGACCTGAGAGGACCGAGGGGCGGCCTAGGGCCTTGTCGAGAGGGGAGAACATGGGTACTCAGGGGTATATATATATACATTTCATCATGGTCCTCCAGTAGAGAGGTTGGAAGAAGGGTACCAACTTTTTTTCCTGTAGTCTATTCTAGTAGGGGAACCCTCCCTCAAAAAAGAAACGGTAAAAGGGCACTACTGGGGGACGTAGTTTCATCATGGGTACCCCAACCAGTGAGGGGGAAAACTAGTCAGGGGTGATTTCGCCTTCATGGGTACCCTCCAGTCAGCTTGATGTAACTTGCCTCGAGCTTCGCGCAACACCAGGGCCCTGCGCTTTTTTTCGCCGCGTTCCCCGCTCGCGGTCTTTGGCTTTCGAAAAGCCTTGAGATGTCCAAGCGCCAGTCGTGAAGCGCAACCTCGAGGCGAGCACAAAAACTGGGCTGTCCTCAGATCCCCCGCTATAAGTTTAACTTTTAGTGGGCTAAATGGACAACCCCACTAAACACTAAAAGGCAAAAAAGCCAAGGGGATGGCTGGGAGCCACCAAGAAGAATCAAGCTAGGCGTGGCCTGGAAGTTGACGGGTGTTCCTCCACTCTGTTAAGCTCCACATCGACCAGGATACTGAGATCTGCGATTTAGAATCAAGATGATTGACTATGGTGTTCAGACCCTCGACAGTTCGCCTTTGATAATCGATTACCACAAGTGAGCCATTGCTTCGGCGATGGCTCGGCTCGTCCAAAAACTGATTCGGCCGATGGTGTTTGCTGGGGCTTGCGCTCTTTGAGGGATCGCGGGGATATTGGCTTGTCTCACAATGGGGGGACTACAGAATGGATGGTATCACTTTAGCCCCACTGCAGAAACAGCACAAAAAGGACCCACAACCGCAGGCCAGGCAAGCAATCCTGTTTCATCAATAATTCACGAGCAGCTTGGCGTTCTCAGTTGCCCAAACAATCCAGAAATGAAAGGTGAA